TGGTGTTAGGGCTCGGCTCTAATGATTATATAGTGAAAATACATTACATCTATGAAAATCTTCTCTCTACTCCTGGGTAATAAGCAGATGAACTACCTATATAGTTACGAGGGCTCTTCTAGAATTGTGAATTTCAAGGCCCCTGGGTGAAGGATACCAAAGAGGGGTGGGGGTGGCGGCTCCACTTACATACTGAAAATGATTAATTGTTTGAAATCTGCTCCTTATTATTCATCAAACATTTTTGATAAGCAAGTGTGCCTTTTCAAAAAATTGTGCAAAGTGTATACCCAGTCTGACTAAAGCCAGCCCCTACTATATCACTTCGTTAGTACTACTAACGAAGTGATATAGTAGGGGCTGGCTTTAGTCAGACTGAGTGTATACCTAGGGTCAGGGGTTCATGTGTGGTAGGGGCACTTCTGATTATTGCTGAATATTACTGATTAGTTGAAATGCATTTTTGTTCCCCTACCCTGCTTATGGGTATTAAGTATAAAACAAACTAAACAATTGCTAAGTGTATTGTTATGATTAGCAATGGTGACTATTTCAAAACTGTGAATGCTGTAGCATCTGGCTTAAAACATGAACCAAATTCAATCATTTGAAAGTTGTTGCATGATGTTCAGGTGACCTATAAGGCCCATGGGCCTCTTGTTTTTTTTAAAATTCCTTCACACATTGTTAATTGTCAGGACAATATTTCATTAATTTACATGATTTTTGTTAAGATTATGTGTCATTGTTATACAGTCTGAAAAAGTTTTTTTTTTTTACCTATTGACTGAAAAAATTAAGATTTTACTGGTCCCATTCAAAATTTACCAGGGAATCCTGTTGGACTGGTGCATTTTTGGAACTCTGCGGAAATTTCTTATATCGAAGAAAAAATTTGTTGGATTTTTGTTTACTTTTTCAATAATTCATATTTATTTTAGAAGTCGAAAATTATGAAATCAGAAATATGATATATTTCTCAATGAAATTTTGCTTGGGTCTTAAAGATTTCCCGACCTGGCTTAAATCTTGGGCCAACCTGTCGAAGTCAAGATGTCAATGGGCAAATATGTCTGACAATCATGGTAAATACATCCAGATTTCTCATAAATTTATTCACGATTATTCAATCAACTTCAGGGCTAGAGAAATAGCATTGCCCGACGCCCAGGACAACCACTTCTGGTTGGCGGGCAAGTAATTTGATAACAGGTGCCTGCCCCCAGACAATTGCTTTTCCAATTAACAAAAAAAAATCAAGTACGGTACTCAAATATCTTTTGTGATATCGCTGTTAAAGTATCATGAATCACAGCAAAGCACATGTTTTCACTGCTGTTGACCACTGCATCAACTGTACATAGGATGATACGTACATCGAATAGTCAGACCTCCTCTAGAATTAACCCATTAACGTGTTGTTAAAAATGCAGATGTCGTAAAACATGGTGTTATCGATGTCGTCAAAAATGGAAATTTGGGAATTTAGACATCAATTGTCAAAATATTAAATTCATACTGTGAATACAGATGGTAGTGGTATCAAAATTGTAGTTGATTACTGTTCCCTGGAAATCATACAGCCATAATGTCGATCTCTTAATAGACATGCAGTAGTGTTCTGTTCATAGATTCGTGTTGTTTGTAGGTTTTATGAGATTGATCACTGTCTGATATCTTCAACTTAAATATTAATTAAATAAATACAACATTAATTTTAACAAAGGTGTATCTTGTTGCAGAATTTTGAGAAAGAATACTCCTTAAAATTAAATATTTTCCTCTAAATCTATCTGTGGAAGAATTTCGTGATTTTAGATTTAGAACGGTCTTCGTGTAGTGTTCAGGAGTCCCACTCAAGAAATAATTTAATATCAATGCTTCATTTCTTTGTGATTTAAGAAAAAGGTGGGACAAGCATATATTTTGGTAGGACAAGTAGTTTTACAATAGTAACCTGTCCGAGGGCAAGTACTGAAAAATTCTATTTGTCTACCCCTGTGACAACTGAAAGATAACTGTTCTGCAATTAACATAAAATATATTTCCAGTGTATTTAATGATTAAAGATGAGAACAAAATGAACTTCACTTTGTAGTGCAAAGATCAGAAAAAGGAAAAATAATATATAAATTTATTTTTATTTTCTTTCATAATCATAAATTTATATATAATTCAATATTACTAGTGAGAATTAATTAATTAAATTTTAATTCTAAAGAAACCTCAGTATCCTGTATTTTTCAACAATTAATTTTTTTCTTCACTATTGGTTTTTAACTTTTGGACCTATATTTGGGCAAGTAACGTCTCACGGTTCATTCTACCTATTCCCACTTTTTGAAAATCAGGTAGAAAAAGGTAAAATTTTATGTGGGAATAGGTGGAATTTTTGTTTGAACAAATAATTAACTATGAAAACATATAATTACTGTACAAACAATGATTATTGAACACCTATTGGAATAGAGGACAGGTATATTTTTTCTTTATCAAATTATAAATCAGACTTTTAACTAATATTTGAAAGAAAAAATGGATTTTTAATAGAATCCAGTCTTCACGCAAACTCACTGGTCCGAAGACCGAGGCCAGTGAATTTTGATGTCGGGTCAGTGAAAATCAAAATTCAAGAAGTCCGATGGGCTTGTTGATTATAAAAATCATACACAGTCAATATATGTTTTAACTGACTTACTTGCATAAATTTCATTGATATATATATATAAAAAAAGAAGAAGCACCTGTTGTTGAATCATATTATTAGAACCCTATTATAACATGGATGTATTACGTAACAACCGGAACTAGCTAGACTATTAACTTGTACGTAAAATGTGTGAATTTTTAACAAACAACTTACCGAAACGCAACAAAGAATGAAAAATGGCGGCATTTCATAAGTTGAAGTACGTAAACATGTATAAATTTAACAGTTATGAAAATGTACTTATTTTATTTTTTAATTAAGGGGCCAGTAAAAAAATTGGTGGGCCAGTAAATTTTTCAAGTTCACTGGTCTGACCGGCCAGTAAGTTTGAAAAGTTTTCGTGAAGACTGAGAATCAAATTATATTTTTTCTCTGTTAATATATTCATTCTAAAATCCACCTATTTGAATGCTTTTTTCAATAAATCTATTTATGTTCTTAAATTAAGATATTAAGTTGCTTCTTCTTGTAAGACCTTTTTATTATTTCAAAAATCCGAAATAAATCATACTTTCTCATGGATGTATTCATTATTTTCTGTCTTAAAATGTACAAAATACAGGTAAATCTAAGGAGCAAATGTAATAAATCTAGTTACTGTAAAAACAAATTAATTATCTAAACATCTATTATTATTTGCAAGTGGAAATAGGTGGAATTGAGATTTTTCAAAAGTGGGAATAGCTAGAAGACACCACGTTTAACTAGGAGATAGTAACTTTATTGCTGCCACTAGCCCTTTCAAGCTAGTACTTGATTTTTTTTAATTGCACACCCCTTTCATGTAACCAAAACTTCCCATTATAATTCCAAACATATAAACTATCAAAAAATAGTTTATATTTAGTCATATATTAATTCTTTTTCTAGCAAAGCCCTTGATTGAAATATAATTTCACCATGATTTTAATGAGACATTGTACATGTTGCCTAGAAGAAACAGCTTACAATTTTTTCAGGCTTATTGATTAAATTATAGTGACAAATATTAGCAATCCTATATTTTGAAACAACAGAACATTGTTTAAAATTGTGTGCACAGCAAAACAATACGGGAAGTTCTCAAGCGCTGGTGTGTAATGGACACCCCACTCTTTGCTGGGGGTCATTTGCATAAATTGCACTGTTCCAAACACTCGTGTTATTTTCCGTGTGTATCAATGATATGTCTTTCCATTATATTGAAAGTTGTGTGCTACAACTTAAAATGTTCCAGTCTCATGTAACAAAAATTAATAAACATTCATTAAAAAACAAGTAATCTGACATGTAAAGTATTTATCCGCGTTTTGAAAGTAGATAAGAATGTGCATTTATAAATGACACGCCAATGCTTCCATGCGGCATCGCAAAGAAACGTGACCCAATTGTTTTCAAAACTTCCAATCAAAAATAATTTCTTAATTAAATATCGTGAGTTAAAACTCATTCTGACATTCAACTCATTGAACATTCTTAAGCGATGTTCGAGCTATTTCCCCCCTAATATTTTTTACATTTTTTTTTTAAATCAATGGTTCTTACCTTTTTACAAACATTTGCAAGACAAAGACTCAATTGAACGTTCCGGTTAAAAAATTACAGAATAGAAACAATAGTTCGTTGATGTAGTATCCATCTAACAGCTTTGGATAATCATGGCAAATAATTTATTGTGTAAAATTCTTACCTCTCAGTTTATATATCAACAAAACTTATCCTTAAAGCGATGGCCTATTATTTGCTTCAAAACGCAAGCAAACCCGCAGATTTTTTTTTCAAATCTCGTGACTTCTCGTCAAACATTTTTGAAAAAAATAAGCATTTTCAGGAAAAATATGAATAGAATTAGTTTCTCCAACACACTGGATACGTTTTTCCTAAATATCATTGTTTTAAAAATAAAATAGATTTTTAAAAATGACAAGGCGTACCATAAATTCACTCATAAAGATTTCGCCTCTTCACAGTCTTGTCTAACGTTAGGTCTAAGGATCATGATTGATACATACTTAGACTTAGCCAAATTTTTGATTGCCTTTAAATTGATAAAATCTCTAAATTTGCAGTTCACAGCACTTTTTTGAAACAATATTTTAACGACTAAACTATGCCAGAGACATATAAGTTATATGCCTATGATTCTGCTGCTTGACCAGAGACATAAATATGCTATATATTTGCCTCTCAGTCTGTCTTGATCTCTGAAATATTTTCGTAGAACATGAGCTTAAGATGTTTCATGATCCACGGGGCAAATACCGTCTCCCTTTCTAAAAGGTTTTGTTTGTTTTATCAGCTATTTGCAACACATTATACGACACATGTTCGAAACATCTTTGTACGATTTATATGTACACAAGTGAAAATGGCCGACGTAAAATCACTAGAACATCCAACTTTGAAAGTAAGTTATAGACAGTTGACACAAACGAACATATTTATTTATTTATTCAATATCTCGATAAGAGACAACTGAAGTTATTGTAATGTTAGTAAGGTGAATGAGAGTAAATGCATATTTTTTGTAATTTTTCATTCAAAGTTGGGGAGAATGTTAAGCGAGAAAAAAAACGTTGAGAATATTGGTCAGGTTGGGCACACACCGCCAAATGGTCATTTAACCCCCGTTTGGTGGTCAATCTCAACTCACGGGGAATAAGATATAGATATTTATCAACTCTGAACGAAAAAAATCAGAATTTCAACGCGGACTTTTTTGCGCAGTGTCGTTCAAATATTTGACAAAATCGTCACCTATGTAAACAAGTGTAAAAATTCCCTCCGTCTCTCACATAGTTGTGCCTATCAATTGTGTTTATCATTTCACATTTCTGTCATCCGGGCAACCGATCAATTACCTAAACCAATAAAAAATGACGATCTTTTCCAAACATGGATCAAAAGACTGAATTAACTACGGAGGCCCATAAGTGTTAATTTTCAAAAAGTAAAATAAGAGGAAGGATAAGAATTCGCTTTTATTTTGTTTATTTCGTATGCAATGGCTTTATTCTTTGTAAAAATGCGATATGCAGTGAATTCATGATAAAATAATCGCTCGAAAACCATAATCTTGGAATAAAAACAGGAATAATTGCAAATGTCACTTTGTAAATCTTTTATTCAAAAATATTTAATAAATATAGTAGATACAACATAGATAGACAAAGGGTCGCACAGAAATCGTAACTTCATCCTAAAAGAAAATAAAGAATAAATGTTACATTCAAATGTAGGAAAAATGAATATTATAGCAATAAGTGCCCACCATACGAATAAGATACGAGGAGCTCGTGTTTAACGGGATTTTATAAAGATTTATATAGACGCAGATCGAAAGATCGTTTGAAAAGTTCTTCTCTAGACTAACACCTCTTGTTTAAATATATTTTTTACCAAACTATACACAACAAAATAATTTTTCGTATTGTTTGAGCAAATAGTTCGGCCGTCACGAACAGCTGTGGGTTTCGTTTTTACAAAGTTCCACAGAAATTCCACATGGAAAATTGACTAAATTGTATTAATTGTGCGATGAATATGTTAATTGAAATTCCCCAATGCCTAAGTGAATGCGCTTCTGTTTTATTTGAATAAAAATTGAATTTGAATGAAAAAGACCACCATTTGGTAGGTAAAAAAGACGCCGATATGGGCGATTGACCACCAAACGGGGGTTTAATGACCATTTGGCGGTGTGTGCCCAACCTGTTGGTTGAATTTTCGTTTTTATTTGGATTATATTTTAGGTTTAAAGCCTAAGGCATACGCAACCTCAGAAAGGTTTGTTTAATGTTATAATTAATTTTGAAGTTATTTCCAGTGCAAAGGTCTGTAACCCCCCCCCCCCCCCCCACTCTTTCCCAGGCAAACAAAAAATATACTACAATTTGTATTCTTTAAATTCGTTTCGGAGCGATTCTTCAATTTTTTGCTACATTGTGAGTATATACAGGTTGGGCACAACCTACCAAATGGTCCTTTATCCCCCGTTTGGTAGATAATCTACCATATCTGTTACGAATTTTACTAACCAAATGGGGGACTTTTTTATTCTATTGCAATTTTTATTAAAATGAAACAAAAAGCGCATTTATTTAGGCATTGGGGGATTTAAGTGAACATATTTCTTGCACAATTAACATAAATCGGTCGAATTTCTATGTGCAATTTCTCCGTAACTTCGTAAAAACAATACCAATATTTGTCTTTATTATATGACTGAATAATTTCCATCTCTCTGATTGGCTGAAATCCAACTATGTTAGAAAAATACTACGTTGTATTGACCTGCACGTGACGTTCCAGGTCAATACAAGGATTTATTTCCTCTACATTGATCTAAAAATAGATTGGGAAATTCCAAAATGATACAAGTTGTTTTGGAAAGCTATTTAAACATGTTAAACGACTATGATTTTTTTTCATGTGAACAAAACATAAGCGGATATATATTTTCAGGAAAGGGTGGTTAGAGGGGATGCAGGGACACCCCTCCAACACTTTTACTAAACAACAATTTTTAATTTTTGGCAGTCAGTTTTCCCTGATAATACTCCTTCCTTTCAAAATCTATCCGATAAAAAAAATGACATATATTTTTTTCATGGCAACTAAAATTGATAAAAGAAACTTCAAATTGAAATGACTGGTAAGGCTTATTTACATTTTAATTCTGCTTCTCTTTTGTATTTGGCTAGGACTTAATTAAATGCAAGCAAGTAAAGGGCTTTATCATTTTATCAGTGAATCATATAATAAAACAATTATTGCTGTTTTTTCGGTCAATACAATGATTTAGCCATCTTCGAAGTACAATATTCACCTCGCCCTTCAGGCTCGGTGAATATTGTACTCCTCAGATGGCTAAATCATTGTATTGACCTCAGAAACAGCAATAATTGTATAGTAACAGCCGAACTTTGTGTCAATAGTTAAAAAAAAATCTTTGTTGTGTCTTGTTGGATAAAAATTCCATTTGATCTAGTGATTTAACTCTTGATGAGTTAACTTTCAATCTCTTTTTGGATCTTCGTCAATGTTTATCTCCATAGAAACTTGTTGAACATGAGCTTCTCATGCCTTACCGGTATGGTGGGCACTTCCTGCTACAAAGTTAAATTTTTCCAGAGTTGAACATAATATTTGTTGTCATTTTTCTTTAAAGATGAAGTTTCAGATTCCATGCGACCTTTTTGTGTTTAATATGCATATTACTGGTGAATTTAATAAATTTGAAAAATAATATTGAATAAAAGATGTACAAAATGACTTTTGCCATTATTCTTGTTTTTATTCCATTTACATCGTTTTAAAACAATAATTATACCATACTCCAACTGCATTTACTGTTTTTATGAAGAACAAAGCCTTCAAAATAAAACGAAATAAAGGTGAAAACTCATTTTTCTTCTGATTTCCTAGTTGAAAATTAACACAAATGTGCCGCCGTAGTTAAATCCGACTTTTCATCAGGTTTAAAAAAGATTATTTTTTTTTATTGGTTTGCACTAATTGATTGGTTGCCCGGATAATCGAAATAGAAAGTAAAGGACATGATTGACATGTGCAGCATCTTTGGAGAAGGAGAGAATTTTCTTTTAAAGTAAAAAACGGAGAAACATTGCACTTGTTTACATAAGCTACGTTTTTGTCAAATTTTGATGGACTCTGCGCAAAAAATTGCACATAGAATTTCTGATTTTTTTCAACCAGAAAACCGATAAATATCTATATTTTATTCCACATGGTCTAAACTATGTGCAATTCCACTCCAATCCGAAGAATTAAACCCAACCAATTTTGTCCCCAAAATGGTCAGTAAAATTCGATACGGATATGGTAGATTGTCTACCAATCGGGGGATAAAGGACCATTTGGTAGGTTGTTCCCAACCTGATATAGTTGGTATTCTAACTGTGGTGAGGGCTTGTCCCAAGACACAGTTAGATTATTCTAACTAAGACAGGTCAGCCCAAGATTAAAGGCAGGTCGGCCCATTAAGACACCGGCCCAAACAGAATTTCATGGAGATTAGAAATATTTCATATATCCGATTCATGAATTTGCGACTTTTAAAAATTAAATATTTATGGAAAAAAGTAAACAAAAACGATCATTATTTTCTTAATGATAAAAAAACTTCTCCAAGCATATTACTCTAATCAAGGAATTAAGGTGTTTAATCAGTCAACAGGGTTCGACACTAACATTTTTAGGCGTTGGTCCGGCCGGACTAGTGCTTCTTTACTTTTACTAGTCTGTGGGAAATTTTATGAGTCCGTCAAAAATATAAAAGGAACTATACGATCGTATTCCCAATCTCATCAGGGTTCGACATTAACGTTAGTCCGTTAGTCTCAGACTAATACATTTTCATTCGGACTAATAAGATTTGTTACTTATCAGTCCGAACGGACTAATTAACTTTTCTGTGGGAAAAAAATAATTTACCGATGTTCAATTCTTGACAACTTTCACTGGAAACCCCCCTGTTTATTTTTAACTTTCTAGCTTCTTGGCGGGAAGTTCGGTAATTCTGAGTCAATTGGGTGCCTAATTTCAGGACTCATTGGTATGAAATTAAACATTTTAGTGATCATGATTTAGTATGACACATAAAGAAAGATGTCTGGCGTTTGGATAATGTTATCATGTATAGAGAAAAACGAATGAGATTGGGAATACGATCTTATAGTTCCTTTTATATTTTTGACGGACTCATAAAATTTCCCACGGACTAGTAAAAGTAAAGAAGCACCAGTCCGGCCGGACCAACGCCCAAAAATGTTAGTGTCGAACCCTGCTCATTCGTTTTTCTCTATGCATGATAACATTATCCAAATGCCCGACATCTTTCTTTATGTGTCATACTAAATCATGATCACTAAAATGTTTAATTTCATACCAATGAGACCTAAAATTAAGCGCTTAATTGGCTCAGAATTACCGAACTTCCCGCCAAGAAGCTAGAAAGGTAAAAATAAATAGGGGGGTTTTCAGTGAAAGTTGTCAAGAATTGAACATCGGTAAATTATTTTTTTCCCACAGAAAAGTTAATTAGTCCGTTCGGACTGATAAGTAACAAATTTTATTAGTCCGAATGAAAATGTATTAGTCTGAGACTAACGGACTAACGTTAATGTCGAACCCTGGTCAATTGCTAAACAAACAAAATCCGCGGCGCCTGTTTGGAGTGTCAAAGGTACTGTGTCATACATTGTCATGATGGGGGTTAATTATGAGTAGGCTCCATTAAATATTGTTTTTAACATTTCTTATGAAAACAGTCATGATAGTTGCAGATCAGTAGCTCTCCAAAAAAAAATATATTGATAGACCGGAGAGCTACAGTGCCACCCATTGAAAAAACTGTATATTTATTGCGCACAAAAAAGTGTGCTC